CGACGGGCGGCTTCTCTCATGCGGCGGCTCCTATCGCGGGCGACCAGCTTCTGTCTGGCGGTGGCGGTGGGCGACGGTTCCAGCGCATAAGCTGCTTTCGTGCTCGCCGACACAGACCACATGCCACTGCCGACGAGGTGAGCCCCAGGCCACCGACCGCCTGCGTGATACGGCCATCCCTTCCTTTTGCGAGGGCTGCGGGGCTCCACATCTACACAAACAGCAGATCCACGGGTACCCGAAGCTACAGCGGCTGCATGCACCACCCTCCGCTTGATGGCGCCAGAGTTCGTTCTTTTAGTTGCTATAGGTTCTTTTTTATCTGATTCGATAGTAGGATCTGAAACCTACAGATTCCGAGGTCGGTTCTAAGATGGGGACATGGTATTGTTTTGATTTCAGTTTTGGTTCAAAACTAGTGGCATTGCTGGATTCATTTTCAGATAAGCTACAAATTTAGTGTATTTTTTTGTGAGTGCATATCTTTGTGTAGTGATCTGAAAAGGGTTCTTTTTTGTGGTAACAACATGTCTATATATTTACGATTAGTAGTTGTGAACTAAAATATTTATGTGATATAAAACACATGTGTTCTCCGAATTGTTGGGTCTCACAGCACTTTAGATCATTGCTGAGTTAAGGAATTGGACATTTTGTGATTTCTGCAGATAACATCCATATATAGCTAAATATATTGTTGTACCTTTTTTCAGGTTTGATCTGAGTAGCTTGTGCCTTTTGCTTGGCTGGTAAGCTCCCTTCATTGCCCATGTGAATGGTGAATGTCATTCATTTATAGCTTCCTCCTATGTAAGAATCTGATGGTCTCTAGCAACCTTTTAGGTATGAATTGAGGATCTGTGGAGGCAATCATCTGGTGTACCGTGTAACATGACTAGCATCGACAGATTTCAAGCAACAAAGCAGTAAGTATCATCAATTGTGCATTTGATTGAGATGACATTTGTGTGTTAGACATTAAGTCGAATGTATCTGCTTGTAAGATGCATGCTTCGTTATATCTTTTTTCGACATTAACTACAATGCCTCTATTGGTTGATTGCTGTGCCAATTTGTTGTGAAACTAAAATATATGTGTTGTTTCTTGTCCTTGTTATGTGCGAGAAAGTGTGATATATAGAACAAGATTACTTGACTTGTCGGGTGGGTGGTGCAATAGGCGCTTTGGGCCTTGCTTGCCAAATCTTGGACTTCCGATGAGTACAAGACTGAGTACAAGACAAAGAGACGCAGAGGCCAAGAATCACGCATGAGTTCTGATGATCCAGCTCAAAATAGAGGAGGTTCAAGAAATTTTGTAGACACAACAGTTCTTGGTATGACAAATGCTTGTGTCTGATTATTTTAGTTAGGAACCGTTGGAATCTGCAGCTTATAATTCTTGTGCAGCTTATAATTCTGCAGCTAGCTTATTTTAGTTGTGACAAATGCTTGTGTCTTGATTATTTTAGTTAGGAATCGTTGATATCTGTAGCTTATAATTCTTGTGCAGCTTATAATTCTGCAGCTTACAATTCTACAGCTTATAATCTGCAGCTTATTTCAGTTATGACAAATGGTTGTCTTTATTATTTTAGTTAGGAACGGGTCAAATCTGCAGCTTATAATTATTGTGCAGCAATTTTTCACCAACGTAGCAATTTATGCAACTACAACTGCATATTCCTGTGAAAATTCTGTCTCTGAAAACTGAATGGAGACTGAATGATGAAAAGTGTCACTTTTTAAGGCTTTTTTTTATGTTCATGCTGCTGGACAAGGACCGAGATCATGTCATGCTGATGCATGATATTGTTTTTTTTTCTTTTAGATTGGCTAAGATCATGTTATCTATCTACTGAATGTCAATGTGACCATGCTCCTGTAGTCCTGTTATCTACCTACTGAATGTGAATGTGACCATGCTATCTGCTTATAATCTGACCGACGCATAATTTGTGGTTTTAATCTTACAGGAATCTAAATTTGCCCGAGGGCAGAGTGGGATAAACACATTAACTCCGAGGAGTGCTCCAATCCCTAGCTAGAAAGCACAAAACAGATTGGTATGCTCTGCACAACATGATTTCATTTGTTCTGTAAACTGAATTGAGGCATCCTTTGATATATTTTCCTGTTTCTATGTTATGATGAGTACATGGCATTAGCTGCAGATTAGTGTGAATTGGTGTACTTCCTGGAAATGCTTAAATATATATCAGAGTTGAGAAAAGATTGTTGTTACTTGATTTGAATTATTTATATATATATATATAAATATTTATATATATATATACACACACATGTGGTCAGATTTGAATTTGAATTATTTTTTTTTTCTGGAAAATCCACTGTAGGGGCGGTTTTTGATTGAACCGCCCTTACAAATACACACAGCAGGGGCGGCTGGTGATACAGCCGCCCTTACAGAAGTCCACTACAGGGGTAGCTGATATTACCAGCCACCCCTACAGATGGCACTGTAGGGGCGGCTGAACACACCAGCCGCCCCTACAGAGGGCATTGCAGGGGCGGTCAGGAAACCGCCCTACAGAGGCACCCTCTGTAGGAACACCCTGGGAAGGGCGGCTGGCGCAGCCGCCTCTACAGAGGCTCTAGAGCCGCCCCTACAGTTAAATTATGTAGTAGTGATAGTGTGTACTTTTGAACGTGTGGTTTGTAATATATTGTGGATTTCGGACAAATTTGGTCGTTTGTGATATATAAATGTGGTTTGTGACATATTGGTGTTGATTTGTGGTTTATATATATATATATATATATATATATATATATATATATATATATATATATATATATATATATATATATATATGCTTTGTTGTTTACATGGAAAAGCAAAAAACAAAAAAAAAATTTAGAGGTGGCTTCCCCGAGTGCCTGTGCTGTGGCACTCGGGAAAGAGGGATTTTTTTAAAAAAAACAAATTTCTTTGCCGAGTGGCTGAGCTGCGGCACTCGGCAAAGAGTATTTAAAAAAATTCAAAAATCTTTCCCGAGTGTTGCACTCGGGGAAGAAAATCAAAAAAAGGAAAAAAAAAATAAAATATCGGCCGTCGTACCAACGACGTCAAGTCTTCCCGAGTGCCAAGACGGCACTCGGCAAAAGCCTTCCCGAGTGCACGATTTTCGACACTCGGGGAAGGTGTCTTTCCCGTGGGAGGATTAGCCGGAGGCTCTTCCCCGAGTGTTGCACTCGGGGAGTGCAACTGGGCCTTCCTCGAGTGCAACTGGCACTCGGGGAAGCCAGCAATTCCTGTAGTGTTTGTCTTTATAAGAGATAGAGATAATATATATACTCCATCTCTCTACAAAAGAATATAACTATAGTGTTTATACTGGTCAAACTAATTTAAATCTAATTAAGTTTTTAATAAATAGTATTAACATTTATGACTTCAAAATTTTTTACTATAAAAATATACTTTATAATTAATCTAACTATATTAATTTTATATTAAAAATGTTGGTATTTTTATATAACTTTAGTAAAAAAATCAAACCGTTTGGTTCCTTAAAAAGTGAGAGAATTGCATTATTTTGTGGACCGAGAAACTATGTGACAAGTAGTTCCGGCTCCAAGCTTCAGCCTCGATCAATTCAAGTGTGTTAAATACATGGGTAAAAAAACATCGCGGTCGATGCATGAACTATTCAGCAGTGTGAAAAATAGGACGTGGCGTGGAGATTTCAAACTGGCCCGGCCGCTCCAAACTTTCACGTTTTAAACAGACGGATCGTCTCGCATGCATAGGTAATAATACTATACGGTGGGAGTTAGTAGGAGTCTGCTCCTACGTTTTTTAACAAAAAGAACAGAGATGTGCGTAACAAAGCATCCATCGTCATGAATGTACTTCCTAAAGAAATAAACAATAGATCCGTCTGGTGCATGCAGGATGAATGAACATACAAAAAAAAAGTTTAGTGCGCCCATGCATGGTACTGGTGTCGTCCTAACACTAGTAATAATATACGTAAGTCTGATGACGGGTTCTAGTAAAAATCACGAGTAACACACGCACTGCACGTGCCTCCATGAGGCGTGACCCGGAGAGAGAGGAGGGGGAAAAAGTGTTGTGTACTGGGCCGGCCGGCAGGGCAGGGCGGTGGCAGGCGTTACTGTGTTACCGACCCAACCAGCGCATCGACGAATCTTGGGTGCCCTTTGTTGCCAGACGCACGCGTGCGTGGCTGAACAAAACAGGGGAAGCGCGTTGCAGAGAGCGGTCGGTCTCGTGAAGTGCTGTGGCCGGCGGGGGCATTGCCGCGCCAGCCTCCATGGCGCGTCAGTGCCGCGCCCAGATCCGCGACACGGTAGCCCCGGCCACGTCAGCGTTCAGCGGCCCTGGTCGCTGCCATGTCATCGCTCCTACCGCGCCCCCATGCATGGTGCGGCAACGTGATTTGGCCGCGCCATGCGAATAGGCGCGGACAAAAGTGTTAGTTTTGGGGGAAAAAAATAAACAGTGTCATATTTGAAAATAGTTTCAAAAAAGTGTTAAAAATAAACAAAAAAATCTCCTCGAGGTGCTTTGCTTGTGTCATCGAAGGCCCCAAACCCGAAGCTTCCTCTATCTTCTTCCTACCAAGTTTTCTGTAGCGATGCCAATCACTTTTGTCACACAAATGCCTTGCTTTATTAAGCCGTTTGGGACGCCGTTGTGAACCAGTCCGAATCAACACATAACAGTTTCTTCACACAAATGCATTTTCTTATTCTTATCTTCATTCGTGCTTATCTTGTTAAAGTTTATTCCTGGCCTCTGGATTAAGTATGACTATACGTCCGTAAGAAACTGCCGGTCTCCAATTCTATCTATATATGTAGGGCGCATCGCACTTGTGTACACATTGAGTTGAGGGCCACTGCTCGCATTAGGCATTATTAGGAAACCACACAACATCCATCTTGACGAGTTTCAGATGGACAGGGAGCCTGTCAATAGTGCTAGTTCCAGTCCAAACTGGGTAGTAGACATGGAGAAGAGGCTAGTGGAAACTGACCTGTTCGGCGAGATGGGGCGTTGGAGCAAGCCCTCGATCTACCAGGTGCCGGAGTGGGTCAAGAATATGACCACCGATAGCGAGCAGGCCGCCTACTACCGGCCGTTGTTGGTGTCACTAGGTCCATTCCACCATGGCAAGGGTCACCTCGCCGACATGGAGGAGCACAAGGAACGAGCGGTGCTGCATATAGTCAAGCGGTCTGGCAAGCCCCTCAGTGAGTTCATCACCGCGATTGAGGGGGTCATAGACGAGCTGCTGGACGCATACGATAATCTAGAAGATAAATGGCGCAAAGCAGAGAGACACCTCTTTGTGAAGATAATGGTGCTAGACGGGTGCTTCTTGTTGGAGATGTTGAAGGGGGTTTCAGATAAAGAAGCACCTCGTGATTACGCGACCAACGATCCAGTCTTCAGCGTGCATGGCATGCTTTGTTTGTGGGTAGGCATCCGGTGTGATATGCTCGTAATTGAGAACCAGATTCCTCTGCTTGCATTGTACAAGCTTGAAGAAATTTGGCGCGGCACGGCACTTCTGGTATGTACATTTAATTAGTGCACTTTATGTATTTTTAGCGCACTATTCATAACACATACCTATTTAAATATACTATAATTTCTATCCAGCTGTGATAGATTATCAATTACTCTATATGTGTTTTTATGTTTAAGTTGCTCTATCTATGTGATTTTCAGTATGTATTTAGTTGAAACCTTAGCTTAAGTTATATCAACTTTTACTTTTAGTGACATTGGTTAATCTACATTTTTGGAATCTTAACTTGTCATCTTAATCTTATTAGTTGTTGTAAACCCTTTTATCCACATCTAAGTTCAAACACATTTAAGGATTAACATGGAGATTGGAGACTCACTTGAAGACATTCCAATTAGTATATTAAGATCAGTATTGTCATGTTTCGCATTGGACCCTTTATGGGTCTTTAATATGTAGTCCCTCCGTTCCAAATTATAAGTCGTTCTGACTTATGTAAAAATCAAAATGACTTATAATTTAGAACGGATGTAGTATTTATTGAAATGATGATTGGAAACATGCCACAACAATTATTATGGTCCAGAGATATACTATTAGTATTCGTCATATTGTAACCCAACCATTAAAGTTTGTTCATCATCTAACAACACCCCACTTTGTATGCTCGGAACACCATCTAGCCCATGTGCACCATATTGTGGTACTACCTCAAATGCCCCTCGTACCTTATTCCCTCCCACTCACAGACACGCAGCTCATGATATGATAGAAAACGCTGGCTAGATAAATGCAATTCAGTCCGCTCGAGTTGTTAATACCGATGGTTTAGAAGGAGGTGACGATGATGGGTGGTGGGGCCAGTGAGTAGAAGGGCTGTGCTGGTGAATGTGGGGCCAGTGCACAGAGCATGGCCATGGGACCGACGAATGCGGGCCCAATGTTCAGCACGGTGAGGCTAAGGTCAAGCGTGGTCAAGGCATCCTCAACGACGAGTTCATAGATCTCCATCTCTAGTTGTTGTGATAATTTCTTTCTCTGCTTTCCACCATAGAAATGGCCACTCGATTGATCTACTCCTCAAAGTTGAAATCGACCATGGTGAGCAGCTAATAAGCATCTTGTATGCCTCCCCACTCCCCGAGGCATGCTTCTTCCCATCCATGCCTACACCATGCTTCCCTTTAGATCTAGAGCACACATCCACGGCATCAGGCTAACCGGCCCGTACAATTTGATTCCCACTCCCCAGCCACCCTAATTGGAATCCCTTCATCTCCTCTACCTCCCTATGCCCTTCAATCCAAAAGTGGTGCAGACTCTCCCTACACTATAGCTTGAGTCAAAGAATGTTTCTCAAGGGAGATTGTAACCCTTTGTGCCAATGTCTAGTTAATTGAGCATGAGCGGAAGTAGCATGAGGATTCTCATCAATGTGGCTTTCAAGGTTGTCGAAGGCAGTGTAGAGCCGCACAAGAAGCCACTGGCACATGAGGGCACACCAATATATGACGGTGACACAAAGGAGAAGACCTCATAGATGACGAAAACAAAACACATTAAGACAATCGATGAGGGAGATGGATGGCACCTAGAATGTGCTTGAGGCTGCCATGGAAGAGGCATGCATGAGCTGGGTTTCCTAGGCCTGCGAACACGTCAATGATGAAGGCGCACACCAGTGTTTCCAATACTAAACATAGTTGTGGTGTTGGCTAGGCTGTTCTGATGAGGCCAATGACATTCTTTGAGCGATCCCTACCCAAGTGCTCCTTAATTGCATTGTTTCTCCTTGGGCATCCAGGTTGTCCACCTTCAACCTTTCGCTACCCCAGGAGCCTCAATCATTTTTCCCTCCTCATTTAACTCCATTCCCCGCTAGGACAAAAATCATTGATTTTGTAGAGAACACCACTAGCTTGTCGATTGTCAAGGTTTTGCCCGAAAGCAACTAGACGCAGGGGCCATCTAGGCTACCCGAAAGCTAGATTGTGAGAAAAAGGAGCTAACAAGGTGCAAGCTTGGAGTGGAAGGTGCAGAAGCTTAGCACAATCCACGGGGAGAGGATGCCCATGCTGCATGGCAAAACGTAGCATCTTTGGCTTGAGAAGTGAAGCGCATTAGCCACTATTCACCCTACCCACCAAAAGGGTGATAACTAGCTAGCCTAGTTTGGATTATGGCAACGGTCATTATCTTTGATGAGGGGCGGCCAGGTATGTTGATATAAATGCACCATACATAACTTGGTGTGCCATATTCCTTGTGCTTCGTGTCAAGGGGTGCAAACACTTTGAGCGCGTCTGTTCGCTCAAGAATCACCTAACGTTATATTTCTGGATAAGGACAATATAGATTGAAGGAGTCTTTTCTAAGGCCTTCATTAATCTTTTTTAGAACGTCTCGCAGAGGGCCCTGACCTAAGAGGTGGCACAAATTTCTTCCAGGGCTCAGACTATGTTGAGGCCTGATAGGGTTTTCAGCTAATGCTGCAGCTCTAGAGCCCTGACTTCTTCGAAGGGAATATAGAGGTGGAAGAACATAGGGACGAAACCTAGATGTGATCTCTTCATCCCTCTGAGCCTTAGCGCACTCTACTTTTGCTTTATGCTTCTTAGAATATAATATCGGGCATGGGCATTTTTGCTCGTTTTGTGCACGACACGCTGTAGTTTGTCCCAACGGGCGGCCCAATTGTTAGGGAATCTTTTTTGAAACGATGCACTTGATATTACTCAATCACCACAGCTGACTCGCTGGACACCAGAGCCTCAAGTTCACGAGGTACATCATCCGAAGTAGTTTGGGAACCACTGGGCAATTTACAACCAATAACAGCTAATTCATGCGCTAGACTATTACAGGAACGAGGACATGCATTTAACCAGAAACCACTAGCAAATGTTTGAGCTCTGTGATCACGCCCCCCATGGCAGACAAGAGGTAGTCATCCTCTTCCATTGTCGTCTTCACCATCAGAGCATTTGTTTCAAGGTTAATCACCGCAATCCCCAACGAAGCAGCCGCTCTCAGTCCGACCACACACCCTAGGAGTTCAGCATGGATAGCATCCTGCAGGTGTTCTTCCAAGCCAGCCCCCGATTTCACCGATTTCAGCACAGCACCAGTCTCATCTCTAACCGCGAAGCCCCATCCCCCATCACCACTTCAGGTAATGAAAGCTCCGTCAAAATTGGTTTTGAATTTTTGATCTCTCCCGGTCCAGGCTTCCTCCATCTATTTATCTGTCGACTTTCTGACAATAGGCGCCTAGCCGGATTCGCATTCAGTCTGTCAGTTTCAGAAGCAGTCATGACTCCGTCTGCCTTCCTCCCTCCATTTGTTTCTCTTCCCCCACCATATCCATAGCAACAGGACGACCGTAGTTTGCACAGGCGGCTTCCGTTTGAGCACCTTCTCCATCATTTCCTTCGTGGACCCGGCCTCAGCAAGGTTCCAGCGCACATTTTCTAGGTTCAGCTCACGCCATACGCCCTTCACCTCTTCGCATTTCAACAGAAGGTGTGCACCATCCTCATCCATCCTTCCGCACATACAACACTTAGTATCAAGTTTCATGCCCCATTTTTGAAGCACTTTCCTTACAGCCAAGGTATTGTGGCCTAGTCTCCATAGAAAATGTTAAACTTTTTGGTGGGCTTTCAATCTTCCAAAGCTGCTTCCAGAAAAAATCCCTTGCTCGACTTTCCTCGGATCCCCCAGCCTAGCTTTCTGTGCTTTTCTTGCCTCAGCAGCTCTGTGCACCTAATAAGCAGATCGTAGTGAGAACCGACGACCTTTGTTGTCATAGTGCCAACCCACTCCATCCTCCATTCCCACGTGATTGGGTAGTAGTGACTGGATTATCTGGATGTCAATCTCCCAAAAGGTTTGAGACAGGAGTTGAGTGTCCCATTGTTCAGTTATCAGGTCAATCAGCTCTTCTACATGCTATAGTAAATTTCTTACCCTTGGTGTAATTGGCTTCCAGGTCACATCCCTAGGGTGCCATGGGTCTGCCCAGATCTTGATATTCCATCCATTCCCCACCCTCCAAATCACCCCCTCCTTGAGCACTTCGATTCGTTGCAAAACACTTCTCCATTTGTAGGAACATCCTACTTTTGAGGAATGGATACAAGGAGCAATATAGTCTAGGATATATTAGGAGTACATATCACCTGTCTCCCCAAGGCTTGGACAATGGGGTTGTTTATTTGAATGAAGTCCATTTAGGAGTCATGATGGGAATATACTGTGTTATACCCATGTGTTCCATGGAGGTATCAATCGGGTATAGTTGGGGGGCTTTTCAAGTCCTTGGCTGTAGGCCCATCTTTTAAGATTCAAAGACAAACCTCGGGTCTAGTTCTAACAGGTGTCATCTTCTTGATCAGCTGGCACGGGGGGATGGGCATCCTGCTTCCACATTCTTGGCATCCCCTTTTGGGGTCGTTTCTCTCTTTTGAAGGGGTTTCATCCCTCTGCTCCTCTGAGACAACTTTGGCTGCCTTTGGAGTGTTAATTTGGCTTGGGCCTCCACCTTGTCTTACGATGAATTTTCTACAGGTGCGGTGAGGGGTCCATTTCCCATGGGTGACCTCTTATTTCCTTTGGTCCTTCAAGATGGCTCATGTGCCTCCCGGCATCTTTCCCATCCTCTTACAAGGCAGTGCTTTAGGATTCGCATTTCTTTCGTCGTCTTGGAACTCATCTAGGACCATCAGATTGGCCTTCTAAGCACTCGGTCCTGAACTTCCCCTCTACTCTCCTTCTTCATTCCTCCTGTGGTTGAGGGTCGCTGATCTTCAAAGGTCCTTTCCTCCGAACGTCCTCTGTCAGTCCCTATGCTTCTTACTTGACCCGAGGGGCCCCAAGCAAGGGCTGTCTTTCCTGGTTGTTGAATCGCTTCCAATGGAGGCTACAGACTGCTTTCGCAACAATATGTGTTTAGTGGACTATTTTAAGGTGTCCATTCATTTTAGATTACACAAGGCTGGTCTTTGCTCCTCAACTAGGTTTTCTGTCTTTTGCATATACCATACTTTACCGAGGACAGAAATTGATGGTCAATTTTTTAAAAAAAATGTTTGACTTAATTATTAGAACAGCACTATATAAACTTATATTTATGATCAGAAATAGTAACATGTATGTCACCTTGGCTCTTATACTATCTCCTTGTCAACCATGATCATAGAGCGCAAGAGACATCAATAATTTGGTGCTTAATTTTGTGTGGGACCCACTCGAGGACAAAGACAAGCAAAGGGATCGTATTGTCGACAACAAACTGTGTCTCCACCCCCTGGACATTTATCATAAACACTTCTGTGGTCTCCATCCGGCCACACAAGGAACAAAAATGAAGTGGGAGCCGAGCATGCACTGTGCTGTAGAACTCAAAGAAGCAGGGATCCATTTGAGGAAGTGCAACAACACTAATGTCATGAATTACAAAAGTCGTGTGCTTAGCTTACCAACAATCTCCATTGCCCATGATGGCACTGCGAAAATCTTCCTTAATATGATGGCGTTTGAACGGCTACATAGTGACGCCGGGAGTGAGGCGACAGACTATATGATCTTCATGGACAACATCATTAACTCTGAAAGAGATGTCGCACTGCTGAGATCCAAAGGGATCATCAAGAACTTGTTGAGCAGCGACAAAGAGGTGGCACAGCTGTTCAACAACCTGAGCAGGGGGGCGGTGTTGAACCCATACAGCAGGCTGCACGAAATTCGTCGAAAGGTGAATGCACATTGCGGGAGGCCTTGGAACAGGTGTTGGGCCATCTTCCGGTACACCTACATGAGGAACCCGTGGGCTTTCATTTCCCTCGTGGCTGCTGCAATCCTCCTCATCGCCACCATCCTGCAGACCATTTATTCTGTCATGGGCTTCTACAAACCCTGAAGGCTGGAGCATACATCACAAGACAACTCCACATGCGTGGTTTCTATCTTACGTGTATACATGAACACGCATGTCGTCATGCATCAAACTTGCACTCTGTATCCAGTTTACGTACTGTTTGTGATGCAGTACATGTAATTTGGTGAGTAAAATACTTGTGGCACAGTATGAGCCTGCAACATATATGGTGTTTATGTATATCATTCATTCAGTGAGTGTAATTTTGTGATAAATTTTAATGTCTACATCAAACTTCGGCCGAAGTAAAAATCAAAACTTATGTATATGAACAAGGTTCGGTTAGGGTCAATTTGGTATAGCTCCAGTTTCAAAACTCATGGGCTGGAGCTTAGAATGTGTGGACGAGTGATATATCTATTTTAATGTCACCATAAAACTTCTACCCGAGTAAAAATAATAATTACTCCCTCCATGTTCTAAAAAAAGTCGTTTTGGATATTGATACGGTCTCCGAAAACAACTTAGACCATAATTTTTTGCTATAAAATATTTATAAACTATATTCAATATATACTTTTATAAAACTATATTTGGAGATGGAACTTACACCACTTTTAGATTTTCAAAATCAATTCCAAAAGAATTTATTTGTAGTCAAAATTTAAAAGTGTTTGACTTAAGACAACCTCAAAATGACCTTCTTTAGGAACATGGAGGGAGTAGTGTAATTTCATGATAAATTTTAATGTCTCCATCAAACTTCTACCCATGTAAAAATAAAAAATTATGTATACGAACAAGGTTCGATTACTGTTAATTTGGTAATTAGTATAGCTCCAGTTTCGAAACTAATCAGCTATGGTATAGTGTTTTTCTCTCACAACAAAACAATATCAGCCGGCTTATCAGCCATAAAAACCATCAGCCGAACAGCCCAGGCTGGAGCTTAGAATGTATGGACGAGAGTGATGTATCCATTGGGTTGTTTCACCATCAAAGATACAGATAATATTGGATTCCTGTCCATAGTCGGGAGGAGAAAAATAATAAAAAAATATATATTGTCATCCAAAATTTGAATCGAATACAAATATTAGACATATATACATTAACATTTTAGGGCCTGTTTGGAATCTTTTTCTGCACTAAAAACTTGTGTATATTAGTGGCCAAATTTTTTTCCGTCTTGAACTGAAAGGCAATGTGTTTGGATTGCTTGTCTACCCACTAAGACCCTATTTGGATCCAAAGTTTTTTTGTTGTTTTAGAAAAAAAAATACAATGATTTTGTGAAATAGTTTGGTTTTTAAATCTATAAGGTGTTTGGATGTAATTATCATTCTAGTTTTGAAAACCACATTGCATTGCAAAAGTTCTAGTCTTTTTTGGAGTTTTAGAAACTCCACTCTTGACCTCCTTTTTTAAACAGTTGTTTTGCACATCTCCTATTATAAAACTAAAGTTTGTTGATAATACAGTTTCTCAAAACCACAGCATCCAAATAGAACCTAAGTGTTGGGTTGTATCGGACTGATCCAATCAGAAATTAAAAATCACTTCCTCAAACTCCGATAAAAATTCTAGGAATATCATGCCCTTCTTTGCTCACGTCCATCTAATCGCCCTCTTCCTGACTGCATCATCACGATACAAGAGCTTCTCTTCTTTGGTCCTCCTCACAACCTGGCTAGCACTCGCCCTCCCTTCTTACTTGATGTCTCTCCCCCTGTAAATCAGTTTCAACCAACAGCCAAATCCATAGATGCAAACGTAATCCATGCTTAGATCCAGAGTTTATGTTGAGTGCGCGTGAGAACGGCGAGGACTTCGATTGTGGAGCTTTCACGCTATCGAAGGGACAGAGTCACTAATTATCTCTTCTGTGGCATTTGATGGAAGGAGAAGAGGCAGGAATTGCCTGCTGACCAGCGCACGATTCAAAGGCTCGCTCGAAGCGTGGGGCTGTTTTTCATCCGCGCCAAGGCCGGAAACAGTCGTTGTGTTCGGATGGTGCACACAACAGTAGATTTCGGCGGGTTATGGATGGTTGAATAGTATTCTGTGAGAGAGAATAAGCTGAAATACTCGGCAAAAACCAAAAAACACTCGGCAAAGGCTTTGCCGAGTGTAACACTCGGCAAACAGCATATGGCAACTACAGTGTCGGCAAGCAGCTATTTGCCAAGTGTTTTTTATCGCGCACTCGACAAATGGTTTACCGAGTGTTAAATTTGACACTCAGCAAAAAAAAGTGATTTGCCAAGTGTTTTTCTAAAATACACTTGACAAAGGATTATTGTTTGCCGAGTGTTTTTGGGAATTACACTCGGCAAACCTATTTTCCAAAGAAAAAAAATAAATTTTTTCTTAGCATACCATTACTGTTTGCCGAGTGTTTTTAGAATTACACTCGGCAAACCTATTTTCCAAAGAAAAAATAATAATTTTTGCCGAGTGTTTTTAGGAATTACACTCGGCAAACCTATTTTCCAAAGAAAAAATAATAATTTTACACCTAGAATCATGGAAATCCAAGTATTTACAACCTAAATCATTGTATTTTTCTTAGCATATTTCAGTTTAATAGCTGCCATACAAAACACTCTTAGTACACCATATCTACCATAAAAAATAGTTCAATGGTCGACAAATCTTAAGCTACACTCTAAAGGCCTCGCAAAATAACACAGACCCAAGTTACAATGCTATAGTTCATGCAGCTAACATATAAGAAATAGATAGAAGTTTAGTAATTACTTCATACAAGCCCTTAGACAGCAATATACAGTTGCTACTACACATCCATTCATCTCCATATCCTACAGCCAAAACAAGAAAAAATATAACAATTCATGAGAAATCTTGTTAAATATGTAGTAAAACAATATAGCTGATTGCTTGTCCAACGTCGCTAAATTGAAAGAGTGACCAGAGAGCACTACAAGTAGGGATGACCACACAGGATGATAATAAAGCTGAGAAAAGCAAGAGCTAACCCGTTATATCTAAAAAACTAGGAATTTAGTAACTAAAGAAAATCTAATTATTTACTCCCGTTTACGAATAAACCATCAGTCAAAGAACAAAGCAACCTGATACTATATTGGGGTTCATTTATGCTGTACAGAATAAATGAACACTACAATCATCTCCAAATTCATTGTTTTGGCAATCGGATCACACTCTTAAGAAAATTCTTACACTTCCTTCGTCCCTAAGCGACAACTATCTTTAGATAAAAAATGATTTTCAAAGAAACAAAATAAGACATGGAAATCATACGGTCAATATTAAAAGGCAGGCAAGAAGGAGGTAACCAAGCATGAAACTTCCTACATCAGAAAGTTGTTCATTGTAAATAACAGCTTGGCACTAGTTATCTTCTAGTAGGATCAGTACCAAGAACACAAGCAAGCATTAGCACTGATACACAAGCAAGCATTAAAAGGCAGGCAAAAATCAAAAGGAGCTTTCTGTACAAATAAGATAGTTCTCACACAACATTAGCACTGATACAAAACTTAAGTGGGAGCACTTTCAGCTATCCTTCACAAAGTTTTAGTTTCACAAATCATAAGTCCGAGGATTAAAAGTGACTAATCTGTTCTATCTACATGTCTTCTCCTATTGCTAATGCCATCTTGAAATTATTTACACCTAGAATCATGGAAATCCAAGTATTTACAACCTAAATCTAGAGCACAGTACACCATGTCAAAGAAGAAAAATAAACTATGACTGAACTGTTGAAGTATAGAGCTGCATACTTAACTGTTGAAGCAGAGATGATGCTAATTAATTGCATTCACACACTAATATCTATGTGGCAGGCATAAGAAGACCAATCAATAAATATCTCCTCCCATATGCCAGTAAAAACCATTCGCATCAGCCTCATCTACCATTAGTAAAAATGACATCTAGCCAGCACTACTCTGCATCAGACTCAGAAAGAACTTACCAGCTAGTTCAAGATTTATTATTTGAGGGTGGAAGATCAATCATGCATCAGACCACGCTTTCCCTTTCACTCTGGCATGCACACAGCACAATTTACCTCAGAAATTTCCCATACAAAAAGAATAGAAAGAATATAAGGAGAGTAGCAGACTACATCTTACCATCAATCCTACATAGTATTGTGAGATGCGGACAACAGCAAACAACACGGTGAGCCAGTATTGCGGCACAAGAAAATGCAGAATATTTTAGCTGACATGTAGTGCAGAATATTTAGCTAAATCACATATGAGGTTTCCAGTAATGCTACTTCATTGTATATAGATGGCAAACTGTCAGTTCAGCAAATGAGTGAAAAATGCAGGTACCTCGTGCTGCGCCGACATGGGGGGCCTGAGCAGAGAGGAGGGCCTCACGCGGTGCCGCCAACGCCATGGATCTATGCGGGGAGGAGAGGCTCGAGCAGCGCCGCCACGCCATGGATCTGTGCAGGGACGAGAGGCTCGAGCAGTGCCGCCACGCCATGGCCCTACGCTGGGAGGGGTTCACCTCGTTGGATCTTGTGGACGCGACGGTGGTGGCGACCTTGCCTGCGTTGGGCCGACCTCCACAACCGGCATCTCATGCGCCGCCACGTCGCCATGGCCCTGAGTGGGAAGGAAAGGGAGAAGCTGTGAGATAGAAAGAGAGGGGACCTCGCCTCACTGTAACCCAGGGACGCACGGCGGTGGCGTGCTCGCCTACGCCGGGCCATGCTTCGCCGACCGCCGCCATCAGCCGAGAGGAGAGAGAAGAGAGAAGAAATTATGGGATGGGGGGTGCGGCCGTGCGGGTGATAGGATAAGGTTGGGTGAAATTTTTTTAGCTCACGCGCCTGTCGCTTCCCTTCGGTGCCATGTTTTTCTCCATCCCTCTCTTACGTGTGGGCCATGCTGAGGACGGGAGCGCACGAGTCTTTAGTTTTCCAAGTTTGCCGAGTGTCCTAGATCTAACACTCAGGCAAATAAAAGAGTTTGCCGAGTGTTAGATATTAGACACTCGGCAAAGGAGTTTTTTATTTTTTATTTATTTTTCTCTTT